TTGTCAACCCATCCATTGACCCCGACCTATTTCCTCTGCGAAATGTGTCCCTCTTTGAAAAAGTCACACTTCATCCTTTGCGACGAATTTTACGACTCAGTTACTTTTATTTCCGTTCTTTTTTAACAATCCTGTTTTGTTTGCTCATCCAAACACCATATTCTGGTTTTATAACAACCATCAGTGTCCTCCATGTTTGCTGGCGTTTTCCCAATCCAATGTAATGTTTATAAGCTGAAATAGAAGTGAGTCTGAGGATGAGAAGCAGACACAGATACACGACGCAGATGATCAGAAACCAGGACAATAATAGATTCATGTAAACTGGGACATGAATATAGGTTATTTTATGTTTCATGTAAACGTCACATCCTGAATATGATAATGTAAAAGTGCTCATTTCAAAGATACCTTCAATATTTTCATGTTTACACATATCGTGACTGTCCTGTATACTGTCGATAGGCTAGTCTTTTTCAAACTGTGTGACATGCCCATGTTTAAAAAAACAATGTACATGGAGGTGATGCATCAAAATGCAGGAACTGATATATTATTCGTTATTTATATGTATTGAAACATGAGGAATGAGTGTGGCTGCGTGTTATTACACACAAACATGAACACATGCATGGACAATCTATCTTTCCTGCTATAACACCTCTCCCCTACATCCATGTACGCTCACACTCACATTCATCTATAATATAATACATATCGTATATTCCCAGTGGACTGCTGTCAAGGTTATGTTTATTGTTTACAATGTGGCTGTTTCTCTTTATATGACAGTGAGGTATGTGGAGGACCTGGGCTGAAGCCCCCCCTTTCTGTCCCAGAAAACATCAGGATAATGTAATCAGAGAGGAAGTGACCGACTTCACCGCTTCACACAGATCACACACTGTTTCAGATGTATTCTGAGAGAACAGAACATTAGTTTTGAGGGAAAGCTCTACTGTAACTCAAGACTTGTTAAATACGTAATGAGTCATTTTTGAGATACCAACATAATGTGCATGTAGGAGTGTGAAAGACAGCAGCAGATTTGCCGTGTGGGTGTGTGAAAGTACGAGAGAGGCAGAGTGAGGAAGGGAACGAAAAAATGATCAATGAATTTACACTGCGAGACTTTTAATGGGATTTAGGAAGAGCAACAGGTTTCTTTACAATTTAGTTAATAGTAAAGCTGTAGCATTGCATTTTAAAGTATTATGCAATATTAAACAAATCAGTTCATTTAAACATAGAAAAAGATTATTTTTGAAATTAGAGTATAGAGATGAATATAATAGTTATTTACCCAGATTAAGCTTTTGCTCTACAAATGTAAGAAACAAGTGATTTTCAGAAATTCTTTAGACCGAACAAAATATTTGTTGTTTTATCTGAAATGCCAATTAATTTAACATTTTCATCACAGACAAAACACAATTACCACAAATGTCACAATTGCTTAGCAAAGACCACAGAATGGTTGCAGATCATTCTTGTTTTCAGATACAAACTCATTATACTAGATGTACAACACTTCAAAGACTACTTTGAATGTGCTTAAAAAGAAAAGAAAAAGAAAATATGTTCAATAATCCATGTCTTTCAATTTAATAATCATTGTATCTTGTGATATTAATTACACTACTAATTAAAATGACTAATGAAATAAAATGACTGTAACACACTACTGCCCAGGACTGACTACAGTGTTATAGTTTGTCTGTATCTATATTTAAAGTGAACATGGACAGCTTGTTATGATGCTGTACTGCAAGTCTCATGTGTGATTGCATGCAACAGGAGGCATCTACATACCGCAACACGCTATTTATTCAGCCTTTTAAATCCACTTGTTCATGGAATTACCCCAGCTTAGTGCCAGACAAGCAAACAGACAGAGGAGGGGGACTAGCATGCAAGCGGCACAAAGGAGCATGGTAAACAAAAGACAAATACCCTCATATGATGGGGTCTAATCCCGCTCAGGGTATCACTGTAGTCAAATGCCACTTCCATCCCTCCCTGCTCCTCATCAAAGCTATCCACCAAATGCAAACCTTCCACCACCCCTTGCTCTGCCCAGATTACCCCTCTTATCCCGCCTATCCTGACATCCATCTGTGTCTCCTTTACTGGGTAACAAACACAATACACAAGTCATTTTACAGCTGTACTGTCCTACTCCAGCTCTCCATCACACTCCCTCCCTCCTTCCTTCCACCTTCACTTACTTTACCACCCCCTTTCTCTATATTAGTCGTGATTAATGTGCACGCCACGCATTGGGCCGTCTTAATTAAACAACACCATCTAATTAGGGGCTGATTTCGGCTGGTAATGGCGCCGTAAGATGGCGGAATGGGATTGTGCGGCGTGACAACACATTCATGAAGTCCGTCAAACTCCCTGGGCGGTCACACTCCCCTGGTTTCACACAAACAGCCCCCTTCCTAATCTGACAGTTACATTAAAATGCAAATGGCCCAGATGCGAGGGTCTGGTAACAAGTGTGGCTTACAGCTCCCAGGGTGCCTCAGCGGACGGGATTTTCCTCCCTGATATGACACATGCCAGGTAACAGGTTGATAGCTGTTGACCTAGAAGGGGCTGTTTAAATATTGGCTCAGTTGGACATGTGTAAGATTACGCAGTCTGGAAATGTCTTTGAGCTGAGAGATAATGGCTTTGATGAAATCATTTTACATGACTAATCATGAATAAATACTTGTCACCCAAAAAGATATACAATCTCTTATCAGTGATTGTTTACAGTCCTGATGTCGCGGGTTATCTTCCTTCCTTGTGGATGTATTGCTAGTTTTAATTAAATCAAGCTCAAGACCGGCTGAAAGGTCAAAGAAAATGAAAGCATATTAATGAGCGCAGAGATGGGCAACACAGAGCAAACACCCCGCAGCACGCACACACACACACACACACACACACACACACACACACACACACACACACACACACACACACACACACACACACAATCTCCCTCTCCTACATACACGCTAACTAACTTGAACAAGGTGCGAGACGTGAACAATATGTGCGTGGTGTGTGTGTGTGGGAGTGTGTGTATTGCCACCAGAGAGCATATCCTGCAGTGTACCATCATGGCTACATGTCAAAGAAAGCTAACCCATGCCAAAATACCAACCCTTTAAAAGCCCCTAATAACTCACAGCGGCTTGTTCTTTCATTACAAATGAAAAGGAAAAACACCATTCACTCCCACAGAGGGGCAGCTACAGTCACAAAGGGATATTGTACTTTGCCTTTGTGCAGTGGCTAAGAGAAAACTACAACAGCCTCACTGCGGGGTGAGGGACTGGTAGTGTGGGGGCGATGCAAATAGGGTTTGGACATAAATCAAAAGACTTAAGTTTCACTGCATCATCAAGGCTGGAGCACTTCTCCCGCTCCCCCCAGACTCCCATCCACATTTCTGCCCACTCTGCTGCATTCATGCTATCGCAGCCTGGAGAACGTCTTCGGAGGGGCATCCTGGCAGAGTGTGAACATTGCTCTTACATGTCGGTCTTGAACAGAGATGCGAACACTAATAGTTTTGGCAGGGCCCGTCCTCAGTGGACACACTGCTGGAACAGAAAGAAAACAAGCGGGGAAAAGCAGGGCAGGATGGGAGTTTTTTTTTGGACAAGTGCAGAATAAGACCAGGTGTCTTGGCAGCGGTGCGTTGACTCGCTTTACAACAGCACCATCTGTCTTCGCGAGGAGAGACTTACAACGTTGACTGAGTGATGTGACTGCTCAACACACAACCATGCATATAATGACGGATGAGTTTTAGTGTTGTGTCAGCCAGTTTAATGGTTTAATACGCTCTCTTGGTTGCTACTTTTTATATCTTGACAAGTGATGCATCTAATACGAGCAGAGTGACTTGCACATGTTGGATGGATATAAATTATATATCATATCATAAATTATATATTATGTCTCTCAAAAATGTCTGAGTAACTCATTATTTTTCCTTAAGTATTATCCGAATGTCATCTAGTCAGACACTCCTGACAGCAAAGAAAAAGCAATGATATGATATTTCTCAATATTTCAAGGCTGGAATGAAAGGCGGTAAAAAGGAAACCTCGGTGTGACAGATGCACTCAGTGCGACTGCAAATGTAACTTTTCCCTGAGCAAGCAACATTTGTTGTCTCGGCGGACCTGCTCCTCGCTGCTCGCTGCCTTTTTTTCTCGGCCGACCAGAGAGAACGGACAAGATGGATGCCGGTGTCACAGCGCTGGCCGGAGTGACAGATGGGCTGATTATACAAACTCATCCCTCTGGCCAAAGAACACCTCGGCTGCAAGCTAATAGCCTTCATCTGCCTGCACCTTATGGATAGTTAGTGCTTGTTGTTAATATGGAAAAGCATCACTGTATAGACAGATCCCATTATAGCCCTGGACTCTCTCTTGACAGCTTGCACCTGAATAGACACCTGCCACTGTTTTTTTACAGCCCAAAATGTTAAATCACCTCGTAGTGACCTCGCGTGTGGCTGGCTGGCTTCAAAGGCATGTTTTCCTTCCTCTAGACAGACACTTTGCAAATGCATAAACTGATTCCTGTCACAGGCTTGATGTGTGGGTGTCAGGCTCTGCAGTGCGCAGTGTTTCCCCAGCAGGTAAGCTGGGGCAACAGGAGCGAAGAAACAAGGCACCGACTGCGAGACATGGCAAAAAATGTCTTGGATTTTAGCCAGAGAGGTGTCACAAAATAAGTCGAGATCATGGGAGAATAAGAGTGGGTGCTGGAGGTGATCTTTCAGGATTAACCATCCTCCTATTGCCTGCTCCTACCTGTGATTTAAAGTGTGGGCTGATTAATCAGACTGCTATCGAGTCTCAGTTCAAGCGAGACGTTTCGATCAATCACGCCAGCCAAAGGGGAGCGTACAGTGAGGCTCTAACAAATGGGAAGCAGAGGATGGGGAAAAAGGCATAGAGAAAGAGATTGAAATGGCTTACTCCATGCTTCCAGCCATCAGCAGGAAAATGTTGTAGATGTGTGAGAAGATGAAGAGGAAGAGGATGGCGCTGAAGAACATGGTCATCCAGGAGCCATGATCCTCGCGGAACACTTTCAGGCGCAGGTATCGACCTAAAGGGAACATGACAAGGACACTGCTGTCAGGGGAGGTTCAAACAGCATGTCATTGGCTAACATGTATGGCTACGAAATGGAGATGAAAGTAAATAAATGAGTCACATCGATCAATAATGTCCTACTCTGTCAGACACGTGCCCTTTAGGCATTGAAATGAAGATAAAGGACCTCTTTAAGGTGCCACTTATATGGCCTTCGAAGTTATTGTCTTATCCCGACAAATTTCACCCGTCACCATTTTATCGGCAATGCCGACAAAATATACTCCATATACACATTATTTCATCTGTTGGACACGCTGTCAGTTAAGAGGTGCTCGATTGTGTTTCATGAGGCGAGTTCTGCATGATTAGAGAGATTATTCAAACCTTTTATGACCCGTGGTGTCTTTTACTACAATCCTGGCTAGAAATCAAATTATGGAGAAATATCTCTCTGGCAGAGCATGACATTGATTCATATATGCAGCCCTCTGCACAAGAGCTAGGCCTCTGGTGGTGGCAGCAGAACTCATTAAGACAAAAAGCTTTATATTATTACTTTTAGCTCATTGTTGTACCCCGAAAAGACTACAGTTGGTGCTTTTAGCTCCTTTGTGGGAAGCAATGAATCTAATGACAGATTATTTTATTATTTTGGCTGCCTGGAATAAAGAAACATAAAAACATTTAGACCTTTAATTCAAGGGCTTACATGTTGTTCTGGTCAGAGTAGCATTATGAAAAACCATAACATAAGTACAGTTTACGAAAATAACATGTGATCTGATGCAATTATGTGCGATAATGTAATAGTCCTTGATCTACCTCCCACACTGCTTGTGTAACAGAAGCAATCTGCTTTTGGGGTGTTTGTACATTTTGGATGTTTTTTTTACCGCCATCTTTAAAAACTGTGTCACAAACGAAACATGGTCAAGGTTCAAAAGCACTCAATCCCACATTTCCAATACTGATCTGTTTTTCTGTTTAAAAAAGGTAGTCTGCACACGTCCAAACCCAAACCAAGACAACCTTGATGACATAACTATGACATCATCCTGGTTATTTTCTCAGACTTGACAAAGTCGAATTCGCAAGTTGAACGCATTCAACTTACAGAGAATGAGTGTTCCTTTTAATGGACTGAATATGAACTGAATATAAGCCTGGATGGTGTATGTTTTGTCTGCTTTCTAGAATAAGGTGTCTGTACTGAAGAAAGTGTGAGGAAGCCTCACTCTTTAACACAGACGCACAACCACGACTGCACTGAGTGTTTTTATGTTTCCAAGAACTTCAGCAGAGTGACAAATCTTCTGTGTGGCCAATCCTGTCACAACATTCAGCAAACCTTCTTTCAGTGGTATCATATCAATAGTTCAAGTGTCATCAATTAAATATGTTTTAATCAGTGTAAAAATACTGTAGAGATTGTGTGAGCCAAATGTATAAGCCAAAGCTTTTATTTAATTGTGCAAGAGGTTACATGAACACTCCTCATGCAGTGAACTGCAACCGACAACGGCTTCAAGGTTACTCGATTGACTGAAATCCTCCATGAGTCAACTCGGCTATACACACCTCTATTTCCCCTACCTCACATATAACACACACACACACACACACTTTGAGGCTCTCCCTATGCTTCTGCTAGCTGTGTTCCGATGCCAGAAGCGGCCATCTTCCCAGGAACAACTCTTTGTTTTTCTCTCTTCCAGCTCAGTCAGCATCCCTTTGAGTTACAGCTCCTCTGAGAACTAATTGCGTACACACACACACACACACACACACACACACACACACACACACACACACACACACACACACACACACACACACACACACACACACACACACACACACACACACACACACACACACACACACACACACACACACACACACACACACACACACACACACACACACACACACACACACACACACACACACACACACACACACACACACACACACACACACACACACACACACACACACACACACACACACACACACACACACACACACACACACACACACACACAGCAAAGCAGCAAAGCAGAATGCTCCATTTATATTCCCATTACAGCCTGGCTGGTTCACTCTTCAATAGTTTTACATGCTGTTCAATCTCAGCTTGCTCACTTTTAGCTTTTGTTTATCCACTGTGCACATACAAACAAAGATGTTGAGATTCCTATGGAGATGGAGATCATTATTGGAGTTAAAGTGCAGTTTTAAAAAATGAACCTCATGTTCAAATATATCATGCATTAAATGACTTGGTACAATACAATCTGCAATATTAGTTTAAACGTTGGCGGTCACTTATATTGGGCTTTAAGGAAGATAATATACACTTTAGTATTGTCTTTATAAAAAATGGTCAAGATCACATATTTTATTTTTTTAGCAAAAGTAAAGTGACCAAGTGTGAGGCCACAGCATACGTCTTGTATTTCAGGGCTCGTCACCGATGCATAATTGAATTGACTTGCATGGGTGAACTTAATTGCCTCCTGTGCCAATGAGCCCTGGCTTGGATGTCGGAGCACAGTGTGTATCGGCACATCTGACTTTTAAAGTAGCCGGCCAACGAGCATAGCCCTTCTCTCACAGCCTGTATGGGCAGAATTTAACTAGGGGGTGATTCAAGACTAGTCAGCCACACTGTTTGAATCAATGCACCCCGACAGTAGAGGACCAGGGTAAGGTGTGATTCACGAGCACTGCCTACTGCGAGGCTGAGCCTGGCAGGGGACAACAACAACAAAAACAGCAACAGCAACACACATGGACAACACAGCCACACACATGCACAGGAATGTAAAAATCACAAAAAACTGAAAAGCACACATCTTGTTATCTCTTTCTATCGTTCATTATCTCACCCTACAAACACATCCACTGGTATGGACCAAGCTCAAATCTAAATTCAATTTTGATGCTAAATTTACACTATTTTGTATCACTCCTCTAATGCTATTTATAGTGTTTGGGATGAGATCATATCCACCTGTCTTCTAGTTGTTTCCAAATGAAAATCAAACATGAAGCTGTGTCTCCATCTAGTGGTGATAAACGGACACACACCAGAGAGCTGAGCAGTAGGAACACAGACAGATATGATTCATACAGATAAGCACAGTGTACCTACAGTTAATATAAGGTGTCCTGTTTTTTTGTTGGTTGTACATAGAATCATAGTCTTTGGAAAAAAGCTTTATACCATTTGAGGGCAGCTCTATATATTGCTAGTGCTAAGGTAATCCTTGTTTCTGGAATCATTTTCAATGATGTAGCCTAATCTATTGCCTCCATATGCTATGGATTAGCATGAAGGAGGCTATAGAGTCAGCCCATTTCTCTTAAAACGAATGACTACACCGCACACAATAATGTTAGTTTAGTATAAACCACAATACCTTAAAACAACAATGAATGAACCAATGAACCGACGATGTGTAAATGCATCGTTTGGTCAGGAGGATACATTGTAGTGTTGCAGAAGAGTCACCAGACATTATATTCTGCCCTCAATAAGTAAGGATAAGAACCTGCCAGGATACTACCTTTACAACTACTGAACAGGATTCCACAGATTCCACAAAATCAGCAGATATGTCATATTTTGTGAACAAATATGAAATGGGCTTTCAGTGGCTTTTATACACTCAGATTTAAGTTCATTATGTACAACTATTTATAACCTTTAATGATTTATAGCAAGGCCTGTAACTTCTTTTAGATTCCTATTCAGTCCAGACAAACTGAATACATCATGGTTTCCTGTTGGATAATGAGATCACATGCACTATTACTGGGAAAGGCTATATGATTACCAGATTTAGGAGTAATCCACTCACAGGACAAACAGAATCCCTGAAATCAGTCAAACACCTGCACTGGTGCACACAGATAGACAATAATTGAACGTCTAGGATGTATTAACAGTGTGGTTTTGTTTAATCCTCTGTTTCCTGTATTACACACACACCCACATGCACCAGTCTCACAGGTAAGGCAGTGCCCCAACACATCCTGACAGATGAGAAGCACAGAGCAGGTGGAGGAGGAGTGAAGGCGAGCGGAGATGTGATCAGCGTCTCCATTCATCATGACACAGATCTACAACAGCAACAAGTCTCACACAGCTGAAGGAGGTAAGTACAAACTGAACACTATGATTTCAACATGTTTTGAGACCAAACACTTCTTATTCTAATTGCCAAATAACACCAATACTATCTACATTACAAAGCAGAATGACTTTAGAAAATGTTCACTTGCTGTGAATCTGAATAATAAAAGTGCCTAAATACTTAACTTCATCTTCAAAAAATAGGTAATCAAAATTGTTTTGTCTTGATGTGGGATCTAACATGATAGGTTGAAATGTGCTTAATTGTTAAGATCTGCTTGGCTGAACAAAATGAATGCATTATTTGGGATTAAGTGCAAACAGAGGCAGACATATTGGAGGCAATAGATCAACAGTGGGCAGGTTTCATTGTTCAGCAGACAACAGCCACTTCCTGGACACACTGGTGACGCTCAGAGACTATAGAGACTGTAAACTCAAAAACAAACAAACATATCACATTTAAAGCCGGGCTTACAGGCACAGCCTATAAAACAGACTACGACCTACATTATTCTACAAGTTATTCTAATATTGAAAATAATATCTATGGCATCATAGAGCTTAATGTTCAGAAAGTACATGGTATAAAACATGTGATTACCAACCTTGCTTTTACAGAATTATGTATAGTTTCATTTATGTGGAGAGAGAACAGGGTCACAATCATTTCTTCATGCATGTATTTAGACTGTTGCTAACTCCAGTATTATGCATTAAGAGCACAAAAGTTCACAATAATGTGTTCATGAGTCAAATGAGTGTATTTGCTGTAAATGTACATAGCTGGCAGGTGTTAAATGCTGTATACGTTAACAGGAACACTTTAGCAGATGTGTTTGACTGGATTTCGTGGGTGTTAAAGCGCACTCAACAACACTTTTTAAGTAAATCTTCATTTACTTGTTAAAGCGAGTATTATTCAATTTATTAGGCGGCATTGTATAATGTATTCCATTGCTCTGAAATAACTTTGACAAAGACAAGTACTCTAGAAACATTTGAACAGAAAGCTTGTTTTAAAAAACATGAAGTCTGAAAGACATGGAGAAACAACTAATCATTGAGGGTGTTACTAAAGATCAAACTGCATTACAGAACGTGTACTTACCAGTGTTTGTTCACCTAAACTAGGGACCTTATATTCAAACAGTCACTTGATTTTTATTTTTCAACCAATTGTATGCAACATAGTATATCTGGAATATATACAAACACAAACTTTTGTTTAAAGTCCAATGTTTTTATTTCCTACTATCTGCGCAGTGGTTGAGGTTAGTGAAAGTGAGTGGTTATAGGAAATAAACTATACAGTTAAAGGTGGGGTAGGTCATTTTGGAGAAACCAGCTCGAGTGCGCTAGAATTTGAAAATACACAACCAGAAAACATCTGCCCCTTCCTTCAGACTTCCTCACAGAGCCCCTCCTCCAACACACACAAACGTGCACATGACCAATGAGGGCACGAGATAAGTTTGTGCACAGATGGAAGGCTGACAGGCAGGTAGGCCATCCAGTTATTTTAGCCGGCCCGGCTCAAATGATTGGTCGTGCTTTTTACAGTTCTACAGCTTCCACAGATGACATTGTTTTTAATGGATTTTTTGTCAAAGCACTTCAGATATTCATTGCTATCGGGATGTTAAGAGCATTCCATGTAATATAACAAGTGTATCTCGAGCCGGTTTCTCAAACGTACCTACCCCACCTTTAAGGTACGGTTACACAACCAGAAGACCCGATGTAAGTAAGGCAATAATGCTTATATGGTTTAATAATAAGAAAGAAAATAAACATTAATGGAGATCTCTCACAGGATCTCCACTCCTGCATAGAATTCAAAAGTGCTGCACGCCCGTCCACCACCCCATCCTTTATATTGCTTACTATAGTGCTTTGTTGGTTAGTACAAAACATTGGCATTGTACTGAAAATATAAGGTGCGGATTCAAATGTTGAAGTACTTCCTGATGAAACTGGGCTGCTGTTTCACAATATATCTCTCCATTTTCAACACACATCAATATATTAAGAATTAAGTTGCATAACTGCCTCTACTCCCTGTGCTTAAATCCCAGAGGTGCTTCTGGAGTTCCTGAACCGGTCGACAGTATTCTGCAGCCAGTTTGAGAATGGTCGGTGGTACTGCTACATCCTCCTGGTTCTCTTTACCTTTGCTCTTCCTGTCGGGATCCTGGGAAACATCGCAGCTATAATCAACTACTCCTGCTTCAGGAAAACATCAAGCACCAGCAATATTTTCCTGTTGAACCTGGCCCTGTGCGACTCCACCTGGATCCTCACCCTCCCCTTCACCCTCTACTTTATATTCCAGAGGCCCCACCTCAAAGGCATACAAATATTCTGCCAGTTCAAAAAGATCTCCTTCAACATCAACATATACGGGAGCATCCTCTTTCTCACGCTCATCAGCTTCGATCGCTACGTCGGGACGGTGCATCCAATCAGCTCTCTCCGTTGGTGGGATGTGGGTAAAGCCAAACTGTGCTCAATTTGCACCTGGGTCACATTGGTACTTTCTTCCATTCCCGACTTATTTGTAACTTTTGCTATTCAGAGAGAGGAAAACATCAGTGTGTGCATGGACCACATCCAGGGCCCTTTTATCTATGTCAAGACAATCACCATTATCAGAACAATCATAGGCTTCCTGCTTCCATTCAGCGTCATGTTGGCCTGTTACATAAAGACAGTTCGTGTTTTGAGGGGTCTCCCGAGAGGTAGAACGCACAGAGGAGCCCAGCGTGCCGGAGGGAAGCCCCTTCGGCTCATCACTGCCGCCATACTAGTCTTTGCTGTTTCTTTCATGCCTTACCACGTTATGATCGTCACCCTGGTGTTCATGAGGATCAATAACCAGGTCACACCGTCTAATACCAACGTCCTGTACGCCTCCTATGTGTTCTTTGAGGCCATATGCAGTGTGAGCAGCTGCCTGGACCCGGTGCTGTACATTGTGGCAAGTGAGCAGTTCCAGAGGAAGCTGCTGGCCTTAAAAAGAGACAGGAAGCTGTGCTGCAGAGCCAACAGGAGGGTCGGGGTGATTGGGTGAATCTAAAGCTTGAATGTTTTACTAGTTACCTTGTTTGTGTCCTTGTTACACCTGTGCCACTGGAAGATATTAATGGGAATATTATGATGACCTGTGTATGCTGGTAAATTGCACTGTTATGGAACTATAATAAGTAGACTAAGAGTAAATCAGCATTTCATTCTCATTTATGCTTTACAATTGTACATACAGTAGTCTGAACACATGTTGCAACTAACACCATTTTACACACAGTTATTCTGTTTAATAGTTGCTTGACTAACAGTATTGTCAACATATTTAAGAAAACTGTAACAAATAACCATTATAATTCTGGCTAAAGTGGATATTTTCATTTTGTTTTTTTCATCACCAAAATAATTTAAACGTTGAAATATCAAACAGCAATTATCAAGATCTCATATTCGCTCTCATCGCTGAATGTTGGTTTAATTGGTGACAAAAAATAATTAGCACATTGTCCAAATATGAATTAACAGTAGATTAAATTCAAATGTATGTTCAATTATTTTTGCAAAATGCACTGATTTGATCACATACTGTATACAGACATGTAAAAAATGAAAGGAACATCTGAATAAATGGGTGTAGAACTGTAACACATGTAGATGCTTCAAAACAGGACAAAACACAAAATGTTACCCTTTAATTCTTTCCCATCATTAACACTACTGTATGTGAGTCGAGCCTCTGCACCTGTATTACAACAGGCAATCACAGGAGAATGAATACATGGTCCTATCATTTATTTGCGATGGTGTTGTGATTAACTGCTGTTATATCAAAACAATACTGCAAAACATTCAACACAAATATTTTGACTGTAGTGCGGTGAACTGCAAAACACATGGAAAATGTGATGCAAATGAACAATGAAATAACTAAACACCAAGCCTTGATGAACCAAAACATGGCTCATGTTTGGTCCACTGTAATATCCATATCCATATTGATTTTAAACTATAGATAGCACTGTCTTTTGAATGCAATCACTGCTCCTTGTTTTCAACTCAAGGGCACCTTGATCTATTTTAGGTTTCAGTACGCAGCTCTACTGTTTCCTGTTTTGATTTGAAGCATCAAAACAACACTCTTGCCCTCCTTAGGGAGCCTAATGAATCTGCTCCGTCAGACACAGAGCGCAGACAGAGATTTAACACTGCCAGGATCTTTGCATCTGCACACGAGCATCCCTATTCATCACACATCTGCTGGGCCGCAGCATCACAGGGTGGTTAGGGAACAGCCATGATTACGGCCACTAGCCTCCCCTAAGCTGAGTCTGTAACTAAGTGTGTCTGGATAATAAATCAGAGCTGGGAAGAGACAACAGAACTGCCTCCCCCTGCAGACTGCAGCTATAGACCCAAGCAGCTGGCTCCTGGGCCACTGAACTCCTGTACCTGCTCCTGTAACATCACTTCATTTTGTTATTTATGGCCAGGCTCCAGACCAAAGGAGTCATCCATTTCAGGTAAATAAGCAATTTCCTTTTGGCTGGTTTCTTTTGTTTGGGAGCTCTTGCCATTATTGCTCTGTGTATTTATCACCCTCTCTGACGTGCAAGCACCTTTAGGTTTTATCCTTTACTGCAAGCTCATGGAAGTTTACGGGACAAGATAAGCATATTAACAATGTCTTTGTGAAAATGAAAAATGATTTTTAGGTTCATAAAATGGTACAATATCTGTTTCAATGGTTTTATGTTGTACTTATAAGTATTTGGAATGATTTTTGCTCAAATACACAAGATAAGAACTAGGGCTGAACGATTAATCGTTTTTAAATCGAAATCGCGATTTGAAATTATGCGATTATCTAATCGCAAAGCATGCGATTTTGTTTTACTTTTTTCAACTTTTGTTTGTTCTTCTTGTGTGTCAGTCATCCACACCAATCAGAAGTGCTGTGCTCCACATGTACCAGCCATTGTTAACCAATCAGAAGTGGCCCATGATAGAAGGTGATAGACAGATTGATCCAATCACCTGCCAAGTCTTTTTGAAATACTTTTCCAAATGGCTTCCTATGGAGCTTTCCTAGATCGTTTCTGAGTCAGGTTAGTAATGCTCCATCACATGTTTTACATCTATTACAGGGTGAATCTTAAACTGAAGCTTGACTTTAAAGCAACCCAACGGAAGTTTGGTCTTCAACCTTCCAACATTTTCCCACACCACTCCGCTCCTCCGCTCCCTTCACTGGCTTCCGGTAACTGCTAGAATCCACTTCAAGACAATGGTACTTGCGTACCATGCTGTGAATGGATCTGGCCCTTCGTACATCCAGGACATGGTTAAACTGTACACCCCAGCACGTGCACTCCGCTCTGCATCAGCCAAACGAGTCGCTGCACCCTCGCTGCGAGGGGGACCCAAGTTCCCATCAGCAAAAACACGTGGGTTTGCTATCCTGGCTTCACAATGGTGGAATGAGCTCCCCATTGAAATCAGGACAGCAGAAAGCTTACACACCTTCCGGCACAGACTGAAAACTCATCTCTTTCGACTCCACTTCGAGCGATAGAATTACTAACAAAGAACTGCTAACAGAGCACTTATATACTAACAATGGACTGGCTTATCTAAAGCCAGTTGAGTAGCACTTGAAATGTTTGGCTCTATGAAACCTGATGTACTTATATGATTCTGTTTTCTTCAAGG